AAAAAGGCTAAAAATGTTCTCGGTCGCCAACTTCAGCAAAAAAGGTTTCTCCGATCTCACTTTTTCTGCATTATCCAATTCTACACATATGATCGTATAAATTAGCTTTTGATAGAAAAAATAAATAAATTAGTGTGTTTGATAAAGAAAACAATAAATAGTACTTGATAAAAGAATAAGCGAAACCAACTCTAAACAATATCAACTATCATCCATAGACAGATAGACCAATAATAATACATACTTTACATATCAGTGTCGTAGTACCAACTTTTTAATATATAAAGGAAGCGATACAGACCTACTGTCCTACCACATATCTGCTTATTTAACCAATCTAAGACTTTTATCAAATCATCAGAACTCCATTTAAGAACAACCTTTTTTGATGGTTTGTTTTAGTTTTTGGTGGGATAAATGAGTAGGTATTTTTGTGCAAAATTCGCTCTGCCTGATTTTTGTCATATATTCACTATTCAGATAGTTGGTACTACTCTGAGCATATATGAGACGCGCATTATTATTGGCTTATGGGTGTTAGTCGGTTTAATGTGAAGTTGTTTACAATAAATTAGTGCTTTATAAACAAGCTTGTCTAGTAAAGTGGCGCTACCGGATGATCAATTAATTTTGTATGATTTAAAAATGCATCTTAAAATAATAATTTTGCAAATAAATGAAATTGTACCTAGATGGAGGTAAGGTGGCAATTACTTCCATTTCATACGAAAAGTAACTTTTGCACTATTATTTTCATTATCATTTGATTCAATTGGTTAGTGAAGTTAGGGCTCGAAAGTATTTCATACTGTTGACAAGCAGAAAAATCAATAGTACCAAACAGGCTCTTTTATTTTATTTTATTTTATTTTATTTTATTTTATTTTATTTTATTTTATTTTATTTTATTTTATTTTATTTTATTTTATTTTATTTTATTTTATTTTATTTTATTTTTATTTATATGGAGTATTAATTTATGTTTGGTAATATAAGCTGGGTGTTTTGTCTTCAATCACTATATTCACGATTTTACTTTTGTGTGATCTTAACCTGATGGTTCTTGTATAGTACAAAGCTCACAAAGGAGAAGAAGTCTAAGAAGAGAAAGGAGTCACAGGACGAGAATGCTTCGGATGAAGACATTGTGGAGGATTTGGTGCTTAGCTCCGACGAAGAAGATGGTTCTATAAGCGACACACCCACAGAAGACGTGAGCAAGAAGCAGAAATCAACTGTAAGGTCATCTAAGAAGAAAGGTAAGTTCAACCCAAAGAGACCAAAGAAGAGAAAGCTTTCCACTTGATCAAGCAATTTTGAGCTGAGGCCCAATTTTCAAATGAGCATCTTTTCTCAATTTTGATGTTTGCTTAATTTTCATATCTTCCTTTTAATTGTGGTCATATATTATATTATACATTGAACCATTCATTTGGTGCTACTTTTACTATTTTTATTAGTTTGGTACTTTGGTTGAACTTGAGGTTATATATTTATTATTGCGTATGCATATCCAATTAGTCTAGGCTTATTGAATGATTCAATTTGAATCATAAATAGATTCATTGAAGATGAAACTAGACATCCAAGATGAAATCATAAATTAGACGTTGGCTTATGATTTTGGTTTCGTATTGCTATTGTAGCAGTATGTGGTGTCAATGAAGGCTGTTACAACTATTGGTATACTTGCTTGTAATAATCAAGTTTAACAATGGTTTTTTCTCGTATTTATGCTTTTCATCGCCTATGGTCTTGCCTACTTTATCAGGGCGGGGAGCCGGGGATCATAATGTAAGCAACAATTGTACGCTGCAATTAGGCCTGGACTCGGGCCGGGCAGCCCGGCCCGGCCCGGCCACTATAGCAACCGGCCCGGCCCGGCCACTATAGCAACCGGCCCGGTCACTATAGCAACCGGCCCGGCCTGGTGGCCCGGTCCACAGGCGGTTCGGGTCGAACTGGCCCGGTGGTTCCCGGTTCCGGGCCCGGGCCTTCCATATGGTGAACCGGCCCGGCCGGTTTGGGCCCAGTCCGGGTTGGAATTAATTTTTTTTATTTTTTTTTGAATTTTTTTTAAGTTTTGGGTTAGATTAGGTATTTTGGTCCATTTGAGGGGGTTTGGGGTTGAGGAAGAGGGGTAGGGGATTAAATAAAGAAGCCAAAAAAAAACAAAAAAAAAAATAGGGCGGGTGGCCCGGCCCGGAACCGGCCACCCCCGGTTCGGGTCCGGGCCCTCCTTTTGGTGAACCGAGGCCCGGCCGGTTCAAGGCCCGAACCGAGTCCAGCCCTAGCTGCAATGAAGCTCACTGTCGTTGTAAATCTGATATAGTAGGAATGCAAAATGGAATGACCATATTTAGGCTTGGACTCGGGTTGGCGGTTCAGAATTGGTGGACCCGGGACCGGCCCCGGTAGCCACCGGGGCCGGGCCGGGTCGGGACTCCATTTTTTTCCCTAGCCCCCCCCCCCCCCTCACCCCCCACACCCCCAAACCCCTCCTAACCATCAAGCCCAACCCGGGTGGAACCCCAAAAAATGAAAATAAAAAAATCAATTTGGCCCGGACCTGGGCCTGACCCGGCCGGGCCGGTTCGCCAAATGTAAGACCCGAGCCCGGACCTGCCCCCGGGCCTAGGCCTAACCCGGACCCGAGAACTGGGCCGGTCCTGGGCCGGGTGGCCCGACCCGAATCCACCCCTAACCATATTGTGTTTGCAGTCAACCACCCAAACATTTCACGAACTAGCAGCCATTCGGCCAAAAGTCGCACTTATAACTTCAATAGTAGATTGACTTGCTCTAAGGTCCAGATGTATAGTTATCCATAGTTGCACCCAGGGTAAATTTAATGCTGATTCTTTAGCATTTTCAAAAAAGAAAAACAGAAAACAAAACTGCAAGTTGTTGGATTCCGAGACCAAAATTATAGCTATCCGCCTATCCCTAATTGTACCTGAAGGCTGAGGTGAATGCGGATTTGGTTCTAGCATATACGGAGTACTTGTTTGAAGAACTGAACTAGAACTGGTCCGATTGGTTCTGTTTCAGAGAAACCGAAACAGTTTTGAAGGGTACCCAAACAAGATTTGATTTGTTTGGAATAAGAAAAAGGGCTTTTAGTACATAACTTTAACGCTTCAAAACATTCTCATTTCTCAATATAGTCATTGCTTCGTTATTTTATCAAACTCCAAGGATAGTATCTATAGTGTTACTGTGTTAAATCATATGATCATATCTCAACAAATAGTGAAAAAATGACATTTAATTCCAATTTCGCCACTCATTATTAGACTCTTCCAACATTGTAAACCCATGGTGATATAGACTCGGCCACATTTTTTATGTTTTAAAGAAAAATTCTATTGGTACAAATAATTTGTACACCTTTTCCCGTGTACACAAACATCTCGTTTAGAAAAAAACAGCAATTGTTAGTGTATACCGGCGAGTGTAAATATACACAAAATGTGTACACCCCTGGTTACCTGTGCAGAAGGGCAACTCATTTAGAAAACAACAACAATTGTCTGTGTAGATAGACAAATGTATCAAGTATGTGCAAATTTTGTGTACACAAAAAATGATTGTGTGGTTGTGTTAAAAATGTACATGTTGGGATGCACAAAACAAGTGAGGTGCAAAATGTAATATTAAAAGGTACACATAAAATCATTTTGTAATAACGGTCTGCTGCATCAACATTTGGTAAAAAGTGTAGCGTCGTTAGATTATTCTTAGAAATTACCAATGATATATTTTTGGCCAAACTCAACCTTGTTGGAAGTGCAAAAAAGAAGATAGTTATCTTGAAGTTCACCTGCCAGTAGGCAATTAGGCAATTCAAAATTGCAAGACGAGATATTTTGTCTCTTTGCCATTTCAAGATCTGTTAGATTCTTAGATGGAACCAACTATTTACTGCACTATAATATACTATTACCGATGTCCTATATGACTATATTGAATTTCTTGTTTTAGTTTGACATGATTGTTAATAAACTAATTGACAAGTAAATATTATGGTTAAGATGTTTTGAATAGAATAAAATGAAATGATAAAGAATACAAATTTCATTACAGAAAAGAAACAACATATTCAATTATTCATTCATTTTGAGACATTCCAAAAGGGAAAGTAAAACAATCAAAATGTGACAGAGGAAGCACTAAGAAATACTCCGTATTAAGTAAAAATTACCTTTATGCATGATGAGGAAGTGTTTTAGCTCAGCTGATCGCCGACTCACTCTCTCTTATGGGAGGTTCCAGGTTAATACTCAAAGGAGTGAGTTTGATCTCAGTATATCCCAGCCCCAACCCCCGGGGTAAAAAAATTACCTTCATGCATAAGATGCTACCATAGTACCATTTGGTACCTAATGGTGCTAAAAGATGACAACAATGTAACACATTTAGTAATATCGCGATAAAGTGATTTTTTGGGTAATACGAAAATTGCATAGATTGAAAATAAAGTGTACGAATATTTAAATGTGAAGATTTCGCGTTACTAATGCCACAAGAAAGTTTATCTGTCCCCATATAAATATTACGAAGTACATTTTTATACACACTTATACATACATTGAGTTCAGTTTTTGCCATTGCTAACATTTTGCCTAATAACTCAGGACTTTGTAAGTGAAATTTTAACGTGCAATATTACCAAGTGTTACGTTGTCACGTTAGGATTTAAGCATAGATATATTTGAGCATACTAAAATGTGCGTCACCTGAACTCTTTAAAAAATTCCAACATTATCCCATTCAAACATCATTCCAAGATCCTTTCTGATGTATATAAAAAGATCATTCCTAGATTAAAAAGGTGAAGTTTTTCGATTTTTTCATATGAGAAAAGAGAAACAATATGATATGCAAACTATTTTCTTAAAAATGTGAGAGAGAAGTTTTTTAGATGGAGAAAAAGGAATTTTGAAAGAACTAAGGTATTTAAAGTACACTGCACAACTCCACAAACAAACGTGGGGGAGAAATCATACCACTAAACCTTTCCCCACTTTGCAAACATAAAAAGTAAAAAAATGAATGCAAATTATTTCTCTGTCCTCACTTAAATCTTCGCTTGCTTCGTTCTCAATTCAAGTTGTTCATTTTGAGCTTCACTCCACTATTATTTTTCTCCCTTCCCCTGTAAGCTTTTAGAGAAAGTTCCCCTACTTTTGCTTTGAGATTTCTTTTGGTGGCAGAGAAGAAGTATGAAGAAATGTGACCATGAAGACTACTCTATATCTGAGTTTGATCCTTGCACAGATTTTGAAGAGGTATGTGATGGATACACTTTGAGGCTTTGATTCTGGAAACGATTAATGCCTTTTCCTCTACATCATATGACTATTTGATATGCATGACAATTAGGCTATTAAACATTAAATAGGGATCCAAGGTATTTAATCTTTACTTTGGCAATAAGGGGACATGAAGATCGTAAATGGTAGGATTGTGACTCGAATCGTAAGATTCCACTATATGTGTGTACATTGTCTGGACCTTACTTTGGCACTATCATAAAGTGTCATAAAGTGTCTGGCATTGATGTGAGCAAGACACCCCCTAAGGGAGAAGATCTCAATCCATTAAAAAGATATTCATTCTACTATGAAATCACTTACATAGGAATACTTATGACACCACAATCCTTTTGGATGTATCAATCTTATCTATTCTTAGCCTTATTAGTTATTTTACCAAACATATTAATGGATGTTGATAAAATATGATAAGCTTACTATCAATAAGGACTAGATGGAAGAAAGTTGTGGATATAGGGAATGAATTATAAAAAATTATGGATCTAAAACTTATCCGCAGCTTCACCAATTTCAGCCGCTTTAGCCGATTTAAGCCTGACTAAATGGGCTCAAAGATATACTCTTATACCAAGGTTTTACTCTATTCTGTATTTGATGATAATATGAGGCAATGTTGTGTTCAGTTTTTGTCAGAAGCAAGAAAGAATGTAACAAGCGAAGGTATTCTTGGAGTTACAATTACACCACCACATCTTGAAGTATCAAATAAGAAAAAAACGAGAAACACATCATGGAAAAGAACACTGTTTTCATGGTTAAAGAGAGAAAAGAAGAACAGTGATAAAGGATCACCAAAGATGAACATGTCCAAGCAAAGCAGTGGTTGTGTTTCTGGACCGGTACATTGCCATCGGAGTGCAACATCAACTCCAAGGCCTCGGAAGACTCAATCGGGACCCATCATGAGTCTCTTCTTCAATGACGGTGGGGAGGAAGATGGTAGGGTGCCATATATGTCTCTTGAAAAGATGAACACTCCCAAGGTAGTTCAATCCTATGGACCTGTTTACTTGGTTACATAGGAAAACCGCTGATTGAAAATGTGATTTTGCTACATTAAAAGAACAAAAGATTGATTCTTTATTTTTTGTCTTCAATCTCCAATATCTATTTGTTTCCGAGCACACACACTTGAAATGTAACTGGAAGCTTAATCAGAACCATCAAATCTGCAACTTACCTAGCAAGGGTGCAAGATTGATTTAGCAAGTGTAAAATTGCAAAGCAAAAGAGTTTGCAGTAGCATTAAAGGCCGTTATAATTTGGCCAAATTCCATTCCTAATAGTATAACCTAAGGCATTCCATTTCATTAGATACGACTATCATAGTGTTTTTTCTAAAGAGTGAAGAATAAGAAGTCAGCTCATTCATTACTAATTACATCCTCCATCCCATCTTACATCTTTCCTTTTTTAGAATGTTTCAAAAGTTTCTTCACGTTTTCTTTTAAAAATAACGATGTCATATAACTGTACTTGCATAAAGACTGTTCTAAGTCACACTGTGAAGAATATATCGGGATGAAGGGAGTACTTTATTCTTTTTAGGACTGATCAGGTTTGAATTCTTAACATAGTGATTCTTCTATTCTCAGGTTTTACTCATTTTTATCATAATTTCCATAAAAATTATGTATATTTGAATGACAGTATATAAAGATGTAGAATGTTATCTCTTTTATGCAAAACAAGTTTAAGAATCATTCAACTCGTATGGGTAGTTAAATCAGTTGGAAGGTGAACTTAGTGATTAATCATAGTTTTAGAACTACTATTATTCATTCTGGATTGAGTTATATCATCATAGTTCTTTATCAACTAGAACTATGTGGTGATATTTTAAGCAGTGTGCCTTTATGAAGATATAAATACAAATTTCTAACTCATATTAACATAAACTTTGCACAACCTTTTTCCAAATAGAATCCAATAAAAAATCTGTACTAACATATACAACAGAAGAAGATCCAATATATTAGCAGTGGCTTCTCCCACCTTGTTCCACATCAACAATGATGTCTTTTATTTCCCTTCTAATCATGAATAGCCTCTTTAGTGACCTCAATCTTGTCATCATCCTAGACTCTTCTTGATCATGCTCTTCCTCAACAATCTCCATAGTATTACCAATTGCAGCTGAGGATGAACATGGAACCTCCAAGGTAGGACCCAACAAGGTGCTAACCTGAGTCTCATCTCCCCAAAACAACACATTGGTGGGAAAATTAGGAGATGCTCCGCCTGCTTCTGGTTTGGGTTCCAATGGTGGATTCGGGTCCGGAATCGGGTTTCTACAGAGAGGGCAGGTGGAATGAGATTGAAACCATTTATCAATACAGCCCACATGAAACCCATGGTTGCATTTGGGCAAAAATCTCACCTTTTCACAATCACACACCTCACACAGACAAACTGCACATTCCAAATGTTCTTCAAAATTTTTGGAACTGAACTCAACTTCTGGTATGGTTTTTAGCACTGTGGGGTCCAGACCTCTTACACTCACTTCTTGGTCGTCATCGGCGGTGCTCAGGCGGTCTGGGTGGTGGGGATTTAAGCATTTGGTGTAAAGATGTATCAAGAACGTACAGTCCAGCACTAAGAAGAGACAAACAATGGCTGCCACCAACATGATTATTCTTGTTAACTCAAACTAACTGATTCGCCCAAAAGATTGAATATTTGACCGTTCCAAATCCAGAAAAGATCTTTCATAACATTTGAGGGAACGAAAGAAGAAAATCCCAAAAATCAAACCTGTTTTTCTTGAAAGTTGCACCAGGAAAAATTAAGGTTGTGGGTTTATATGCAGACTTTTTCAGAAAATGTAGGCGAGCAATCCGAAAGAGAAAACGAACAATAATAAAGTCGGTAAACTACCTCATAGCTTCCTGCTAGAATTTTCTAAAAAAAAAAGCTTCCTACTAGAATTTTTAATTCATTTGCTAAGAGAACTTTCTTCAGTTCTTTGTTTATTGGGTTGAATGATGTTATACTTCGTATGTTACATGTATTTGAGTTTGACCCTCTTACCTCTTAAAAAAAGTGTGTGCATACGTAATGCATTGCGTTGTATTGGAGTAAAGAAATGTCAAATGTCACATGGGTGGGTATTTCTTTCACAGTGAAAGTGAAAGAAATTCATTTTTGTTGAAAATTCAAAAATCTGCTCCAAAAATTCTTTGTTCATCATTCAAATATAATGCTATGTTGCACGGAAACTTGAAAATCATGAGGAAACGGGAAACGTCAACTTTTGTTCAAAAAAGGCTTATTTGGAGAGTTTCCAAAGAGTTTCCGAGAGTTTCCGAAACGGGAAACGTACTCTTTTCCGAGAGTTTCCGTGCTACATAGATATAACGTGATCTTAAACTCTTATTAATTTTGTGGTAATTGGTGTGTAACAAATCTTCTAGAGTTCTAGTCTACTTCTAGAGTTCTATATATTACACATCCCTACTACTCCCTCCGTCCCATTAGAAGGTTCACACTTTCCTTTTTTGAACGTCCATTAGAAGGTTCCCATTTCCATTTTAGGAAACAATTAAAAAATTTAAGTGACAAATTAATCATTATATATTAAAAATAATACATTTATAACATCACAGTTATCAATACTAACTACATTATAATATATACCTATTAAAATTATTTCTCAAAATATACTCGAAGTACTTTATTTAATTATCACCTAAATAACCGTGTCGTTTTACTATGAGAACCTTCCAACGGGACGGATGTAGTATATACAAAGGTCTCGTCCATTATCCTCCAATCGATGTAAAGTCTAATTAATCTTTAATTCTATATATTAAAATTTTTTCAAATTTGAGTTTCTTTGCCATTTTAAAAATCTTTTAATGTAGTTTTTGAATATGTAAATTTATTTTTTTAAGAAAAAATCTAATAACATACATGAATTAGTTTCCTTTATTATCAACAAAAGTAATTTTGAAATTATTTTTCTGCCTGTATTGGCTAAAGTTACTATGGAAAATTGTTTTAACTGTTTTTTCATATAATTTTTTCATATAATTTTTTCTTTCTTAATAATAAAATACTTCATATTTGTTTTTTTAAATTACCAAAATCAGCTACTTCAACCGGTCAATCAAAACTTGGTAAATTTTAGTAGAATTATGCAATAGAACCAAATTAGAAACAACAGTACTTGGTAAATAGCCGAATGCTCTAAAGTCTAAACTAATAGGGCTATCTTCTGTCAAAAAAGAATCAGCGACCTGTATAAACCATTACAATGGGCATTTGCAGACATCTCTACCTATTTTCTACATTCCGTCCATTGCCGTTGACTGGATGAGCTACCCATGTCTTTGTTTGGTAAGACCTTTCGCCATTTCGCGCGGCGATATTTGTAGTTTTCAATATTTTCAAATCCAACAGTTCATCCTAAGAAAACTGGATTTTATTTTATTGTATTTGATATAGATCAGTTCAGTGTTCTCGTTATAGGCTGTTAGGGTTTCTTATGCAATAGTATCTTGTGCTGTTATGCAGATATTGCTCCTGCAGGGTTTGCTTTCCAGAACGATGTTTGTGCAGTTAATTCTCACATTGTCTCCTGCAGTAAATACAATTCGTGGAATGGTATTCGGCTTTCATCTCTGCGGAATTCATCCTTCTGTTTACTTTGGAAAACTCATGGATTTGGGGGACTTAAGTTATACCGGGGTGAGTTGATGATAAGAGCAGTGGCCACTCTTGAAAAAGAATCAACCAAAGCTAACCAGATAAAACAGGACGGTGTTGGCTATAAAACTAGCATGATAACAAGTATTGATTCGGGAAGTTTGATTTGTAGAGTTAATGAGTCTACTGAATTGGACGAAAGAGAGAAGTTAAGACGGGGTAGGATTTCTAAAGCAAACAAAGGGAAAACGCCCTGGAATAAAGGCAGGAAGCACAGTCCAGGTAACCTGATATTCACTTAAGTTTTAGCTGTTTCCCAGCATTGGACAATTAGGGTCCTCAATCATGATACCTTTGACCACTTGCAGAAACCCTGCAGAAGATTAGAGAGAGAACGTGGATTGCAATGCAGGATCCTAAGGTGATGTGATGTAAAATGAATGCTGCGGAGAAAGACTAGATTAAGCATGATTTAGGATTAATGCTTGGTCGTGGAAAGTTTACATTAACTAACAATGTGGATGAATATTGCTACAATATGACAAGTTTGGCTATAGGTTTATATTATTGACCAGTCAAATTCAACCTGCACAGGTAAAGGTGAAGCTAAGCAACTTGGGGCATGTTCAAAGGTATGTTTTAAAATTAATTTCTAAGTCAATTGCTATGATTTCAATATACAGTTGTTCTATTAAAATTTTAATCTTATCTGAGAAATCTGAAATAATATTTTTTTTCTCTATTAGAAAGAACAATGCAGTATAACATCTATTAGGTCCAGTTACCAAGGTTGATTGCCTTTCAATTAAGTATATTGGTTCAATTTTTACCAGGGCAGGTCTTTAGTAATACTTAGTAACACTCTTTAGTCTAACGGCTTCATAAGCTAGTTTCTTACTAGGCATGACCATGACCAGTATATGAGACCATTGGCATACATTTTTTAAAGATAGATAATACAAACTGCACAATCTTAAACCAAATTAATGATCACAAGAACTCTTTTATCTACTGATAAGTATTGGTGTTACCTGTTACACTTAACTTCTAGTTATTGATTGCAAGAGTGTTATTCGAACCATCATGAGACTTGTATAAGTATAGTAATAAATTGATATCCAGGTTGATTATAATGATCAATTACAATAACTTCTCCCCCTTAAGTATATAAAGTTGAGTAGAAACTTGAATCACATAGAACATGGCGTTTGGCTTCCTTGTGCAGTAAGCAAACAAGGTTAAAAATTGGAGTCAGTGTGCAACTTGGGTGGAAAAGGCGCCAAAAGATGCTGAAACTGCAGGAAACCTGCTGCTATGAGTGGCAAAATTTAATTGCAGAAGCTTCTAGAAAGGGCCTTCTTGGTGAGGAAGAGTTGGAGTGGGACTCATACCAGATTTTGGATCAACAGCTTGAAGAGGATTGGTCACAGGGTCTTCTGCAGAGGAAAAAAACACTTGAGCCAGAAGGTAACAATAGGGCTCCTAAATCTGCTGAGCAGAGGAAGAAGATTTCTGAGGCCATTTCTGCCAAATGGGCTGATCCAGTTAAGAACAATTTATTTGTTTTGCGCTCCCCCCCCCCCCCCCCCCCCGAATTGACCCCACCTTATCACACCCTCCCTGTTTTTCTTAAGAACGTCGGTTGTCACCCACTCATGGTCCAAGCTGGCAAAATGGGCATTGATAACGATATTTGTTGCCTAAGATGACTAAATTGTTTCTCTGAAATGGATGAATCTGCTGGCATGCGGTCAAAAGGCAGCCATGGCGGAAACATAGCAGCTCGACGTATGAGATTTATGAAGAATGGCGGGTTATGGCGATCTATGGTTGCACCAGACTTTTTTCCATCTGCCATTAATGACACTTATCTGCTGAGTAAATATTAAAATATATTTGTTGAATAAAGTAAAGCAAACAATAGCAGTAAATGAAGGCAACAACGTCATTTTTAAATTTCATCACACTTCAGCTAAAAAAGTATCTGTTGTACTTTTTTCATTATTAGCTGGTTCAAACAAGATAATGAAATAATTTTTGTTTTGTGAACCATCTGGCTGGTAAACTGGAGAAGGGTACACCTAACTGACACTTTGCTCTTTTACCTGTATTTGATTACTACTTAGTTCATGACATATTTTGTTCTTTCCAAATAGGATTACAGAAGGCGAGTCTGCTCTGGTCTGGCCAAGCATCATGACGTGCAAAAAGGGGTTGAAAGAAAGCCGAGAAGAAGGCCTAGTGGTGATGGACAGACCAGAATAAGAAGAATTTCATCCACGAAAAAAGTTAATATAGATGGGTCAACTGTTTGTATTCCAGAACAACGAATTAAACGGGATACATTGAAGAGAACCTATACACCAAAAAGCAAGGATTCTTTAACAAAACCCACACTAGAATTGTTAATGAATATCAGGTCACGAAGAGCTGTGACTGACAACAAGAAATTTGAGGCTGTTAAAAGAGCAAAGTGAGTTCTTTTTCTCTCTTTGCCTGGCTTCAGAGTCACCTATCTTGGTATCTTCTTTTATATAAGACCATCGAGATATGAAATTGGTAGCTTAGAAGTTAGAGACATTTAAACAATGAAAGTGAACACAATGCAGGCTACTATTATATATGCCAAAATTTGGGAAGTCTAAGAAAAATGGCATTTACCGCACATGTATGAACCCGTTTGATATGGGTAAATGTGTTTGGAAGGGCTGGTTTTGCTAAAATAATGGCTGTATCATCTAAAATTGTATGTAAATATATTTCCTTACCAAGTTAATTGAAATAATTTCCAAAAAGAGGATAGAAGTGTCAATCCCCTTCATTTCAGCAAAAAGGTAACTTCTGCAGTACTTTAATTATCATCAGGCTGAAATAAGTCGGTGTTTAGTAAAAAAATGTTTGATAAGAAGAAACTCAGGCTAAGAAGCGGACATTTAAACTCATGTGGAAGATGTCCCTAACTAAGCCATACTCATTAAACTGAAATAAGTTAGTGTTCGGTAAAAAAAGGTTTGATAGGAAGAAAAGACATGCTAAGAAACGGGCATTAAAACTCATACCAATTCTGAAAGATGTCCCTAACTTTCTTTCCAAATCGTGGTCTTGTTTTGCAATTACTGTGCTGTTGCACTTGTTATTATTAGGGGTCTGATCTATTTTGGATAAGTTTAATTTGAAGGGGAACTTTGTATACTTGACAAATATTTTCAGGTTTTTAATTGCCGAGGCTGAGAAGGCGGCGGAGGCTCTTGAGATTGCAGCTACAAAAAGTCTGGTTGCTCGAGCATCGCTAGTTGAAACCAGGAAACTTATTGCAGAAGCAGTCCATTCCATTAGCTTCATAGATGACACGGAAGAGATGTTTCCTGG